GGCCCATGTGGGCTTGGGCCATGGGCCGTGTCAGGCCAACCCCCCAAATTATCCTTGGGGAGGGTGGCATAGCCCAATACTACCCGCACTTTAGCATGCTACTTTCATCTCTTTTAGTTTAAATTTAGTATCCATTTTGCTATATTAATTTTTAGATCTTCTAATTACGTAGTTCATAGTGTGAAGCATATTCAAGTTTCATGATATGGGAAAATAGATCTCTAGTCGTTAGTTTCAACTTTAAGCTCGAAACCGTAATTTTTATTTTTAATGGTTAGTGATGGAATCTATTAGACAAGGGTAAATTGCATACCGCTACCCACTATTTTGGGTGTTGTGACACTCAGCACCCTGAACTTAAATTTGAGACAAAGTCCCACCTTGAACTTTTAATAGCATTCCCTCATCTAACTTGAAAAAAAGATTCTTATGTAACTGTTATACGCATATTTAAACATTTTCAAATTCCCAAACTGCCCTTGTATTATAAAGTTAAAAATTTATAAAATTCAACAAAAAAACAAAAAATAAAGAAAAAGCATAAAGGAGTGCCACTATTTGAACCGCCATTGATTAGGATGGTCAGATCGTTTAGCTTGAGAATCGTTTAGGCAATCGGTTCCGTTTTACCCCAAACCCAGAATCTGGTAAAAAACTATTGAAAAAGTTAACAAACCATTGACCCAGGCGATTGAACTGTCGACCCAATCAATAGTTTTTTGACTTTTTTATTTTTAATTACTTTTAATTTTATTGTCAGAACGAGCCATTCATTCAAACCGGACGATCAGACCATTGACCCGGATACCGATAGCCAAAAYGGTTCCATTTCTAGGTTTTTTTAAACGTTGCCTCAAAGTATAGGTAGTCACCCCCCTCCCAACACACACAAAAAGAAAAAAAAAGAAAAGAAAAGAAAAAGAAGCGTACCAAGTAATCTGTTGATTTTCATTTCTATATGGTATATATCTTTGGGCCGTTTGATTGATAACTGTTAAAGTTGGTGATCTGATGACTCATTGCTTAGAAAAGGCAATAAGTTATTTAGTTCAGCCATTTCAGCCGTTACCAACAGCCCCTGGCAGCTGAAAATATAATCATCTGTTTGTTACTTTTCACTACCCCTCTCATGTGGTGCTATAGCTTTTCCAGTTTTTGTTTTGGTGAAAAGCCTACTTTTCTGAAACCTTTTGCTTAAAATTTTGAAATTTTTGACGGTTAGGGGAAAAGGGAGTTCAACTGAAGTGGAAGACACAAATATTACCAAGTTCAGAAGAGACAGCAAAAGCCACACAGAGCTTATCCCTTTAACAAAGCTGAACACCGTTAGGCAGATGATGTAGCAACACAAACTTTTAAAATTTTCAAGTTAGAGATACAACGCTTTTGCAGTGTGGGATGTTTGGAAAGAATGGAATTACATATTTATGGTATGAGGAAACATCGCAAACTCAGAGGAAAATGTGAGCAGACATAGCATTCAGTATGCTTATAGTCACTCCGAATAGCGGTTTGTCTCTAACATGGTTTTCAAAATCGGACCGGACGGTCTGACTGGAAAACTGGGAACCGGTCAAGTACCGGTTTTTTTCACTCTAAAACTGCCCCATTTGACACAATTTTCTGCATGGTCTTTTAGATGTTTATAAGCTGGGCAGACCGCACCATAGTCTTTTTTCTGTTTGGTTTGTATAGATTTAGCCGCTAAAAGTCGGTGCACCAAAAAGACGTGAGAATTCCATTTTGGACTGATTTCGGGAAGCTCTAAATAGAGTTTTTTGTGTCTTTCTCGCTTTATTCTCACGCAAAAAGACATGGAAATGTGCACGGAAAGACGTGTAGTAGTCAAACTAGCTTCGGTCTGCTCAGATCTTCATACAAAAGTTCAATACATCTTTTAACTATCAGAGCTACCAGAAGATCTTCACTAAAAGACTTGCCAAATGACCCCTAAGTCTATTGACAAAAGATGAGAGTAGAGATGTCAATGTTTCGGATTTGAGTTAAAAACAATTTGAAATAAAACTAATTTAAACAGGTCAAATGGTCTGATAAGGCATATTGAATTGGACCAGTTCAGACTTAATGGTCCAAAGTTGGATTGGACCTGTTCTATCTGTATTAGACTCATATTAATCCCAACTTAAACCAATATCCGGTCCATTGACAACCCTATTGGTATGAATTTAATCTTTCTCTCTCTCTACATGACCTGCCCTTTTTGCTTTCCACCATATAAGGGACCATTTAGGTTGGTTAGATGTTCAATCCTCTGGTGCATATTGGCTCTATTTCTGACTTTAAACTGTAGTTTCTTCAAAGGAAATAACAGTTCAAAGTTAATTTTAACATGTTTTTTGCATAAAGCCGGCCCCTGCATTTTTTCTCCTCTTATTAAAGGTGCAACACTATGAAAACTTCTTGGTTTCTTCATTAACACAAAATACAAGCCCCTACATCTATATATATATATATATATATATATAAACAACGTGGTCTATTTCAGAGGGCCTCTCCTTGGTCCAAAACCCCTTTCCTAATTTCTAGCTTTTTTTGATTTTTTTATATTTTTAATTCCACCTAATTGTCCAATAAACCAATAAAGAAACAACATAGGCAATAATCCCCATATCTTGTTCCTAAAATCTCTCTCTCTCTCCTACACACACAAGTTCCCAATCAATTAAATCATCTTATCTCCTAAAAGTTTCCCTAAAGTATCTTCCCCACCTAAAGCTTCCTCCTAAAACATCTCTTAACCTATCTCACAATAAACAACATAGTTTTAACACTTCTTTCCCAACACCTATCTCTCTTTCTCTATCTAGAACTAGAATACTAATAAGATAAGTAAATAAATATCTAAAAGACTAAAAAGAATAAAATGAATAATACAATAAGATAAATAATTAAAGTAATAAATTAATAATTAAAAAAATTATTATAATTATACCTAATATTTTTCATATCATCATTGAAATTTTAATAATTAATTATATAATTTTATGTTATACTGTAATAATTTTAATTTAAAAATGGTTAACATAATAGAAAATTCAAAATAAATTACTATTTTTTAATTTTAATAATAATAATTGTTATAATTGTTAAAATTAATTACAGTAACATTATACTTAATTTATAATAACAAATTCTAACAAGATTAAAAATTATAAATACTAATAAACTTAGCTTATAGCACAACTTAAATTACAAAACAATAACAATTTACTAAATAAATTAAAATTTAATAAAAGTAAAATTATTAATTTAAACTCTATTTGAATTTAATTTTAAAATAATGAAAAATAAAAACAACAAGCCGATTCCAAAAGAGGTTTACCTTCACCCTACCCAAGCACCTTATTTTGCCACATCATTTGGCTCTTAGCATCTGGCTAAGTCACCCTACCTCCCATTTCAACCTTGTAACAAAGTTGGAAATTTCCCAAACATTAAATGTATAAGATAATTAAAGTAATGAAAATATCAATCTATTTTGATATTTTAGTAATAAAATATAAAAAAATACATAAATATTTTAAAATGAAATTATTTATATCAATAATTATTGAATAATCAAATTTTCATATTTAAATATTAATATACTATTATATAAAATTAATTATACATTAGTATTACCTGACATTCATAACTATTACAATTGCAGTAATTTAACGATGATTATTTATTTTAAAATTTTCAAAAAATTAGTTTTTAGAAATTTTCAGGTAATTTCAAATAATTATTTATTTTGAAATTTAATTTTGTTAATAAAAAATATTTATTAATATTTTCATTTACATTGTTTTTTGGAAATTATTAAATATTAATTTGGAAAATTATTGGGAAATTTTAACTATATGTATAATTTCCATAACTATTTAGAAAATTTAATATTCTTTGAAAATTATTATGTTGAAAAATTTTAATAATTTCCATAATTTTTATTATAGTAATTTACATTGGTTTTTTGGTATTTATTGGGAACTTTTAATTTAGTGATTTTCATAAACTAATTTTCATGTTTTTGGTAATTTAATTTGAAGAATGTTAATTTAAAAAATCTAAATTACTGAATTTTTATATTCAGTAATTAATTCTTCATATCAATTTGGAAATTTATTCATAAATTTTTGAAAAGTAATTTATTTATATCAATATTTATACTATGGATTTTTAAGATATTCATAATTTTCTTTCTATTTTTTATTTTCTGTTGTGGAAACAAAAATAGATATTTTTATTAATTTAGTTTTAACATCCTATGTCAAATACATTTCTTTTCGGTATTTGGTGATACTCACCACTAATAAGCCCCCTCCCAAAGTCAGTGGTTTGCTGACCAACTAACATGCCAACCGAGCCACAAGCTAGAAAGAAGCTCCCTATTAGGGGTGTTCAAATTCGGTCATCAAACTGAAAATTGAACCGAACCAAATTGAATAAGCCACTTCGATTTGGTTAGTTGTTTTCATTTTGGTTTGAAAAAAAAAAATCAATTAAACTGAATCAAAAATCGAATTAACCAAAATACAATATATATATATATATATATATATTAATATTTTAATTATAAATATATTAATATTATTTGATATATATTTTAATAATAATTATTAATATAAATATAAAATGCATTTATCTTTTTAACTAACCAAATTAAAACCGAACCAAAATTTAAATTCAGTTAAGTTTGATTCGGCTCATGAAAATGACCTAATCGAAATGTCGGTTAGGTTTTATTTTCAAACCAAACCGAATCGAATTGACCGAATGAACACCCTTACTCCATATCTTGTTAACAAACTTAGGGTTCCCTATGACCTTTTGCTTTGAGCTATGGGCTGTGAAAAACAATAAAGATAAAAAAATGTTTTGAACATTTGGTAACAATTGATTTCAAAAACATATATATATATATTTGAAAGTTGTACGGTCGATGTTTCAACTTTCGAAAAATGGAATCTTAGCGTGTGAGAAGGTTGGTTTTTGTTCGTGCGAATACGCTGTACGTGTGACAAAAGTGCGAGTACGCTGGTTTTTGTTCTTGAGTCCGAAAGCGAAACCAGTGCTCAAAATCACCGGCCGGGGCCGGTGCATCAGGGGGGAAAGCCGGCGAAGGAGGGTGGAGTTTCATCAGATCTTTTAGGGACAAGGAGCGTGCTGTGCCAGCGACTGTAAATGGGGAAGAAAGGAAGGGCTCGTACAGGGACAGAGTTTCGTGTTCGTACGTGGACGGTGAGCGACTGTGAATGGGGAAGAAAGAAAGGGGTCGTACAGGGAAGGAGCTTTGTGTTCGTACGTGAACGGTGTTGATCAGAACATCCGCCAGCCGTTGACGAGTAGTGGGCGGTGCGCCACCGCGTACGGCAACAGTGGGAGGAGAGAAGTTGGGCTGCTGTTAAGATTCGAGCAATTTTTTGAGGTTATCTGGCTGGTTAGTATTCATTTCTTCGTTCTGTTTTTTCATCAGCCTCGAATTTTTTTCGAAATTACCGAAATCATCCAATGCTCCATCTCCAGAGCCGAATGGTCATGATTTTCTCATTTTCAGTCTTAAAATCAGAATAAATAAGAAAGAAAAGAAACCGAATGGGGGCAAAACTGATAGGGTTCGTCTGTGGATGTAGTGTTCGGAGTCCATTTTTCTTTGTAATGACCATTATTGCTGTCTGGTTGTGGTTCTGATTCGAAAACCTTGGACAAAAGCACCAGGCAATAACGTGTTAGATACTCTGAGAGAGGGTTTCCGATCCCCAGAATTTTAACTTTTACCTTCTTTCTATGTTTGGGGGGCAGGGGAGCTGAGGAGCTCCTTTTCTGTTTTTTGTTTCCGTAACTTTTTTTTCGCCATTAGAGAGATCTGAGAAGTCCATTCTTGTTATCCGAAAGTAAATGATTTTGGCTCTGTTTTTATTTTTTATTGGGTTGGTGGTGGTAATTGTTGGAACTTGATGTTTGGGTGTAAAGGCGAGGAGGGCTTTGCGGGCATTGAAGGGGCTGGTGAAGCTTCAGGCGCTGGTAAGTTGTAAGAAGGAACCTGGAAAACAAATCATAAAATTTGGGTGGGGTTGTGGTCGTCAACGTAATTATTATTGGATGTATTAGGAGATTGGGCTTTGTCATTAATTCTACTCTTTGTTGGAGTTTCAGAACTCAGGTAAAAGGACAGTGTGCAAAACACCTAGGGATTAATCCTTGACCAAAACTTGGTATAGTTTGATTTCTAGCTATAATAACAATTAACAGGGATGGGATCTGCTATATATGAGTGATCATGGTGGGCACTGATTGCATTGTGCAATGAATGCTTGGCAACGATTAGGGAACATGACTCTACAAGTGGTAATGGTAATGGTGCAGTTCATCACTCTTCACTCTTCACTCGTCTTGCAGGAAGCAATAACAAGGGACCTTTGGAAGGTGGTTAGGAACATCTCTGTTGTTTCAGCTTATTTTATTTATCAATCCTTGTAAATCTGTAATAGGTGAGCTTAGTTGTTCCAAGGGACAACCAATGCTGTAAGCCAATTTATATGGGCATTTGGTTTAAGTATTTAGAATATTAAATGACATCTACTATATTGTCTACATAAATTGGACAAGATTTCATTTATTCTTTAGTCCTTAAACATACTAACCGATGTATGTAGGATGCCAAGAATAAGCATGTTGGAGATCTTAAACAATTGTTAACTCCCATAAACTGTATATCAATTTTATACATTTTAGAACTGCCATAGGACTATGAAGAATTTTCCTCATATAGGTGGAAATTGTATCAATCGACTTAATTGGAGTATCTGAAACCCCAAACTTAACTGGTATCATCCATTCTTTTCTAAAGCGAGAGACGGAATCCGGCATCATGACAGTTGAGGAAGAGTGACACGTGGGACACGCCACCCCGAGTGGTGCTCAGAGCAGAGTCGGAATCAATGGCATCGTCGTCAGTGATGACGACTGGTGGACGGCAGCTAAGGAACTAGGAGACGTTCAACGACACTGTATCGTCGGCGTTATTTGGAGTGGGTGGCTGAGGAGGGAGGTATTAATGAGTCACGACGAATCAAATCGGCGAGTTGAAGCGTTCATTGAAACGTTCAGGCTGCAGAGACAGGAGTCTTACGGGCGTTATTTGGAGTCTGAGACGGTCAATCGGTTTCGGTTCAAGATTTATCCCAAAGTGGGCTGAACAATCATTTTCCAAAAAAAATGAAGGTATTATGACTATTAAAAATAAAATTTTTCAAGTTTAATTCCCAAAAATCCGATTAATTAAGTATACATATTTGAATTTGTATTTATGATATATATTATAAGAGAATTGAAGAATCAAACCTCTCACTCTCAGCTGGTTCACTAATTCATACTTTAGAACAAATTATTTATTAATGATGAGAAAATAAAAAGTAAAAGTTGTTTAACTTTTTGTTCACTTTTTTCATTATATAAATGTTTCAGAAAAAGGGTATATGCTGTTGGACGGTTTAGATACGATTCAAAAATGTGGACAAATGTCGACCGTTGAAGATATGGAAGCCTGAATGGGATACTATTTTCTTTATCAAGTATAGGCTATATAAATCAGGGAAAAAGCTTGATGAATAGGAGCTCTTTCTCTCTCTCATGGACGACCTAACTCAGTACAAGGTGGAGGTATTTGTTGTGGTGAGTGAATCGTTTCCAATCTGACGACAGAAATGAAAGGACATTTTGTATGATGTTGCTCTAAAGGCCCACCCTAGGACGGACGAAAGCATCCGTCCCAAGATTTTTATTGGGCCAGCTGGATCTATTAATCCAGTTGCTTGTCCCAACGTTTAAACGAGAAACTATGGGTTACGGTGTTTGTCTAACGACGTCAGATTTAATTTGAACAACTCCAACTATTTTTAAAACTATTGCATCTATTAGGGTTTGAGTTTTTTTTCCCAAAATCAAAAAGCAAAGAGAAGAGGGAGACCGACCTTATTCTTCCTAATCACCATTGCAGAGCACATGAAAAGCACAATTTCGTAATACGAATTGGTTTCTGTTATGCCAATGTCTCCTTTGTCTCACCGTTGCAGAGAACAAGAAAGAAGATTTTTTGTTTAAAGGCTTAAAGCTAACTTGTTCTAATAATAGAAACAAAGGGGTTATTGGCGGGAATGGATGTGCTTCTTCTGGTGAAAGAAAGGGGTTAATGGTGGAAGAAAGGGGTTAACAGGAACCAGAATGAAAAAAAAAAACAAAAAAAGACAATAAAAAAATAAAGCTAACCGGTTCGTATTATGGAAATGGTTGTGCTTTTCATGTGATGGGGAGGAGTAAGTTCGGCCTCTCTCATCTTTGCTTTTTGATTTTGGGAAAAAAACTCGAATCCTATAAGCTGTAAAAGTTGAAAATAATTGGAATTAGTGAAGTTAGATCTAAACCCACATCGTAGACAAACGCCGTAACCAATCGTTTCTCATTTAAACGTTGGGACAAGCAACTCTAACGTAGATTAATAGATCCAGCTGGCCCAATAAAAATCTTGGGACGGATGCCTTCGTCCGTCCTTGAATGAGCGATAGTGAACTCCCAGTGCGTTTGGACTTTAACACGTCAATCTGCATTAAACTCTGCCGCTCAATTTTGACACGTACCCTCCAAAAGGGCAAAACCTTGATCTCCCGCTCAATTTTGACGCGTACCTCCACAAGGGCATGATTTATGAGGGAGCTGCGTTGGCTTCTCCGGTGCCTTTAAGCTCCATTGATGCATATTTGCTGCTTAGGCTTCACTTGTGGAATGTTATGTTGATGATATGGTCGTGAAGACCCAATTTTCTAGATTTTTAATTGATGATTTAGATGTTATTTTTTAAATTTTAAAGAAATATAAAATGAAGTTGAATCCAAATAGGTGTGTTTTCGGGGTCATGTCAGGCAAGTTTCTCGGTTACATAGTGAATCGACATGGCATCGAACCAAACCTGGACAAAGTCAAGGCCATCTTAGAAATGCGACCATCCTAGAAAATCAAGGAGGTACAATGACTAAATAGCCGGGTCATTGCCTTAAACTGATTTATGTCTAAATCGACTGGTCAGTGCCTCCCCTTTTTTAAAGCAATTAAAAATAATGAAACTTTTGAATGGACTGAAGAGTGTCAACTCGCGTTTGATGAGCTGAAAAGGTACCTAAGTACTACCCTAGTTTTAACCAAACTTGAGGAAGGAGATGTGTTGAAACTGTACCTCTCCGTGAGTGATGAGGTGGTTAGCTCGGTACTAATTAGAGAAGTAGATCGGTTTCAACGACCCGTCTACTATGTAAGTAAAGTGTTGTAGGATGTGAAAACCAAATATCCTGATATCGAGAAATTGGCATACGTGCTAGTGGTAGTAGCTCGGAAACTACACCCATACTTCCAAACCCATACCATCGTCATCCTTACTGATAGACCTTTAAGGTACTTCCTACTTAAGCCCGAGGAGTCAGGGAATTGACAAAATGGTCCATCGAGCTTAGCGAGTATGACATCCGGTTCGAGCCATGACCAGCAATCAAAGCCCATGTCTTGGCAGACTTCATAGCAGAATGCACATTCAGCATGCCGGCCCCTGAACTGACTGAACCTGCTAACACATCAGAGGCATCAACCAGCGCGGCAGCAGTCCTAGTCAAAGTAGTACCGACCTGGGACGAGGAGCCCTGGATCCTCCACGTAAACGGCTCATTTAACCAGCAAGGAAGCGGTGCAGGACTGATATTATACGGCCCAAGCAAGGTGAAGCTAGAGTATTCTCACCGGTTCGGAATTGAGAAGTCGAACAACGAGGTGGAATATGAAGTGCTAATTGCTGAGCTAAACTTAGCGAAGGAAATTGGAACAAAACACCTCATCGTCTACAACGATTCTCAACTGGTGGTTAACCAAGTCAATGGGGACTATGAAGCACGCGACTCGACTATGGCAGCCTACTTAACCAAAGTCAATGAGATCCTACCAAGCTTCAGCTCTTGTTTCATCAGAAAAATTCCGAGGTCTGAGAATGCTGAGGCTGATGCCTTATCACAACTAACAAGTACAAGCGACAATCAGGAGGTCCTTCACGAGACCCTACCTGCTCCATGCAGGGTGATTATCTGCTCTATGGGACCCTACCTGCAGAACACAAAGCAGCTCGGAGGGTAGAGCGTCAATCAACTCGATACGTCATTATAGATGGACGGGTGTACAGGAGATCCTTCACGCTCCCCTACCTATGTTGTCTACGACCCTCAGAAGCTGAGCCTGTACTTCGTAATATCCATGAAGGTTTATGCGGAGGACACTTCACGAAGTGGGTGGAAGCCGAACCGTTGGAAAGCATTACAGCCCAGAATGTGCAAAATTTCTTCTAGAAAAGCATCGTATGCCATTTTGAATTGCCCAAAGTCTTGATTTTGGATAACAGAAAGCAATTCGAGGATATCAAATTCTAGATCTGGTGTGCCGAAATGGGGATTCAACAAAATTTCATTTTGGTAGCGCATCCACAAGCAAATGGATAGGCCGAAGTGACGAACAGGGCTATCCTCCACAGACTGAAAGCTCACCTTGCGCGAGTTAAAGGGTTGTGGGTGGACGAACTACCCAATGTCCTTTGGGCCTACTGGACTACCATCAAGACTGCGACCTATGAGACGCCCTTCAACCTTGCATACAGGACAAAAGTTGTGATCCTGGTAGAAATTGAAGTATCGACGTTGCGGCTCGAAGCCTACAACGAAGAGACAAACGATGACGAGCTCAGAACTAACTTGGACCTCGTCGAAGAAGTACGTGATTTGGCCCACATTCGAACTACAGCTTACCAACAGCGAGTAGCTCGGTATTATAATGCTCGGGTTAGGAAGGGACTATTTCGAGTTAGCGACCTGGTCCTCCGTAAGGTAATGGTACCTGAGCTCAGTGTGGGTAATCTCGGTCCAAATTGGGAAGGTCCTTACCGGGTGAGACGGGTATTCGGAGAAATAACATATGAGCTCGAGAACATGGAAGGGAAACAGGTACCTCGAGATTGGAACATTGACAACATAAGGAGATACTACCTGTAAACCTCAATGTAGGCAAAACGACTAAGTCCATAGGATCACCGAACTGACCCTATGGACGATGAACTGGAAGAGAGGACCTTAAGTCACTCCCAGAAGCCTAAGGGCTATGGTGCCGAGCTGACAAGAGACCTTGGCACAATATAAAACCTAGTTGCCTCTCCAGCATAGGTAGAGAAGTCCCAGTTGCCTCTTTGGCATAGGCAGATTAAAACCCGGTCGCCTCTTTAGCACGGGCTCATTAAAACCTAGTCGCTTCGGCATGGGTAAGGCAAAGCACCCTGGGCACAGACAGGTCGGGCATGTACCCTACAACGTCTACTCACCCCGGCATACAATAACGATTAGATTATTCCTATTTGAGTCAAGCTCGCTAGTTCGGGAGTAATCTATACTTAGAAAAATTTTTGCTCCTATTTTGTTTAGCTCGCCAACTCGGGAGAAATCTACACTTAAAAAATTTTGGCACACAAAGAGTTTTACAAAAAACTTATTTTCCATTGATGAAGTACTTCTAGTACATAATAAAAAAAAAAGAGAAGAAAGATTACAACTATTTAGCCAAGCTCGGAGGCTCGAGACATCAAGTGTTTACAAAGGGGGGGTCCAAGAAAAGAGGTATCAGTCACTTCAGGGCTCCTT